ATAAGAATGTGCGATGTCTTATGGGGTTTTCTTATGCACACAGATTTAGAGATCTGTTACAAACCTCAACATGCAAATGAATGAAATTAGAGACCGAACCTGTAATTTCTTAGCAGCCATCTGTGGATTTCGAATTGCACGAATGAGATCGACACTGCGTTGTGGTGATACAAATTTCCACAGCGCTTTTGAGGCGATTATGATGAACTCATCAGTGTCCAGTAAGGGAACGGTTATCTTAAAGTAAGAATACAATTTTCAATTGCCTTCTGTTCCTGTTTCTGGTATGTCAAATTCTGTTTCTGGTGTGAGTTTGCACTTTCTGATGAGTTGAAATGATACATTCGGAAAAAAAAAAAAGACCCCAAACCGAAATTTTGCATGACGGACGGTATGGTGCACCAGATAACTCAGAACCTCTTTCCTATCGATTAAGGATTACTAGGGATGAAAATATAAATCCAAAAATATAGTTTTGGTTATGAATAAACAACAAAAACCTAGCTAAACAAAACTGCTTGAGAACCTTGGTTGGATTCGGTAGAACGGCTGGATACAAAAATGAGAAGCCCAACGAGCGCATACTAGGACAGATACCCTCGATTAGATTATCCTAAAAATAGATCCACAAATAATGTGAACTCACACGATATGCTTATAAGTACTCCACAAATTGTTCGGCTAACATAGAACAATTTATTTCCATGAGACAGTAAAAATTCTTTTCAATATCAGCATTGACTTGAGCTGATCAAGTATAAGAATAAGCTCTCTTTATCAAAACCATATGAATTTCTGAGTTTTTCAATGAATGCATCATCATATCACAAGGCAGCGGAAGAAATATGAAATTTGATGTTTGGCTTTGTGCAGGAAGTTGGAAATCTTGACGGATAATAACGATTCCAATACACGAAATGAATGGGAAGTGGAAATATTTCAGAAATAAAACTGCAAAATGTCGGGAAGAAGCACCTGAGTGATGGTGACATTATCTCTTCGCAGTTTCTGATATTGTTCATCACAAATTTCACTGCTGATCATGTCGTCCGTAAGATCCAACGCATTGCCGTTTCTACACAAAACTGCACCAATTTGACCACTGATTGCGCATAGCAATTCATCATGCGATACATAAAGCAATAACGCTGATGCACCTAAACGTTCGCCCAACTGCCCCAAATGTTCATGAGCCTTTATTAGCGCCATCTTCAACGATTCCACTCCGGACACCGTCTGTAAAGTAGATTATCTTTGCAATGGGTATCTTGTGAGTATGACAAAACGTCTTTATCATCACAATGTTAAACTTCACTGAATTCGT